ACAAGAGCAGCAGCAGCAGCAGCAGTAGTAGTAGAACTTCAGAGCTGGAAAGGGTCTATGACAGAAAACAAAAGTATCCAGCTGTTTTGCTGACTCATAGGTTGAAAATGTTAATTTTTTGGACTACAATTTCCAGAACCCCCTTCTAGTTTACTGGATGGGAGATATGGAAGTTAGTCACCCAAAAGTTACATTTTCAAGCTCTGGTTTACTTTGGAATCCGGGTCAAACTAGATGACACTATTTATTTTTTGGAAGTTGAGTCATGGCAACTGGACTTCTTTCCAATTAGGCTGAAACGTTCCGCTATTCATGCCAGTAACTTCTTCATTCTGATGAGAGTTGGTAAGAGACCGCTGATATATCCTCCATGTTGGTTTCACTTCCCCCTGTTCTGAATAGGCTCATTAGATGCAGTCCTTCTCCACCCATTGTCATGGGTTGATTTTCACTCACCCCCCAGTCTAATTTACACACATTGTTCCCTCCCAATCCCCCAGGTAATTTCATCACGGATGCTTTTTTACATGAACACACCAACGCAGAACCTGAAAACTACAACTCCCAGAATTCCCCAGCTAGCATGGCTAGTTTACCGTATTTATAGTCCAGAAATAATGTTGCCACGTAAGAGAAGGAAGAGCGCCTGATTGTTGGGTTTTTCAAAATGCTATGTGACTCTTAAAAGTCATCTCAGAATTTGGATCTGACAACTTTAGAAAATGGCCATGAAAGGAATGCTTTCTCCGTGAGGTTGGCAGAATTGAAAGGACTTTTACTCTATCAATAGTGACCAGAGGCCCACCAGAAAATATAAACTTGTTTGTGCCTCTGTTTGTTGCACTCCCTAATTGGATAGAAAAGATAAACCCAAATCCCCCAATGACTATATTTAGTATATCCTTCAGAGATTAGTGCAAGACTCAGGAATAATGTAGGTTTCTGGAGTCAGACACGACTGGACTAAAAAAAATGTCAAGGGGAACCTTTACCTTTACCTTTATGCCAGCTGTAGATTTCAGATTTGTGTGCTGAATGGTTGGCAATGAAGAATATTTAGTAGCCCACAGTGCATTTCAGTCTCTTCCTGTCAACTGTATTACTATAATTAATTCAGCATTAGGCTTGTCAACTTTTTCTCTTGCCTTTCAAAGCCACCAGAAGAAGCAATCTCTATCTGCTTATTTTCTGCTTGTTAATCTGTTGTTGGAATTCTTCTAAAGCCTGGCTGGCACAGGTTTGTGAGATCTGCTTTCCCCCCCCCCTTCCTTTTAGCAAAACTCTGAGATCCACTAAGTAGAACCTGTTGCAAAACAAATACATTGAACTAAAGAATTCTCTGGACCCAAGAATCTGTTCCAAATACCAGAATGAAATGCCACTTACCTTCCTTCCACTCAAAAACCCACTCTTAATTATACTAAACATTCTTCATGTCAGTAATACAATTCAGAGGGAGAGATAAGAAAGTAATTTCATCACTGCTACAGTTAAACAGTTGGGATTTTTTTTTTTGAAAAAACAGTCTTTTCAATTAGTTGAAGATGAGGTCAATAACCCTCCATATACCATTTCTGCCTCAATGTTTCTTAGCTGGCAGAGAAAATGAGTCACCTGTTCTGCACAGACCGCACAAGTTTAAAATGCAATCCCAGGTGTAGCGTTCCTGATCTATAAAGGTTCTGACATTTAGGGCCAGGTTTCCACAGGACGTGGAAGGGACGTGGTGGCGCTGCGGGCTAAACCGCAGAAGCCTATGCTGCAGGGTCAGAAGACCAAGCAGTCGTAAGATCGAATCCAGGCGATGGAGTGAGCGCCCGTCACTTGTCCCAGCTCCCGCCAACCTAGCGGTTCGAAAGCATGCAAATGCAAGTAGATAAATAGGGATCACCTCGGTGGGAAGGTAACAGCGTTCCGTGTCTAAGTCGCACTGGCCATGTGACCATGGAAGATTGTCTTCGGACAAACGCTGGCTCTATGGCTTGGAAACGGGGATGAGCACCGCCCCCTAGAGTCGAACACGACTGGACAAAAATTGTCAAGGGGAACCTTTACCATTACCTTCCACAGGAAGTGCCCCGTCCCACTTGTCTGTGGAGGGAAAGCTATTTAGGTACACAGAGGATGCAAAAAGGAAGAATCCACCCAAAGACCATCTTCTTAATTTCCAGCCCTCCCCCTCTCTCTTAATGGCTGCTTGTCATGCTGTTTGTTGATCTTCAAAGCATGCCACACCATCTGGCCTTTTATTTTGGAACGGCAACAATCTGGTTTTTTAAACATCCATTTAAATTGGAACTTAAGCTTTTCTATTTTTTTTTTAAGGACAAGTAGTATAAAACAGTACCTAAACCCAATGAAATATTTCATTTATAAATTTCTTCCCATGACTGGGTTTCTCTATATCCATTGTGTCTCTAGTTAACTAGATGTGTTTAAGTCCAGGAACTGAGGAGAAATATATTCACCACATACTACGCAGGCCTAATGACTGCTGGGTACTGAAGAATGGTTATACAGAAATGATTATACTGTATATCCTATCTAATAAGAAATGATTATACTGTATATCCTATTTATATGTTACATGGGTTTTCTAGGTACAGAATACTCTGAAATGGTTTACTATTACTACAGTATTCCCTTTTTCTGACAACACCCTGGGACTGCGCAGCTTGCCCAAGGCCACACAGGCTGGTTGTACTCACAGGAGGCACAGTGGGAAGTCACACTCCCAACTTCTCCTATTATTAATTTGTTGCACGTGTATCTTGTCTTTACTCCATCAGCTCAAGGTTGGGTATACTGTTATTCTCTCTACAACAGACAGTGCATTGGGAGGCCTCCCAGGCAGAGGCATCCAAGAGACTAGAAGTGAACCTGTGGCTGGCTGGGAGGTGACAGAAAGATGAGATCCCTGGACTTAGCACATGGGGCCAGCTAATGGTACCTCCAGAGGAAGCCCAGCAGGTTCAGTGTGCCCAACGGAACGGAAAGCTCTCTGACTGGGGAGAGCAGGGGGCATTGCCAACATAAACAAAGGAGAGACAGTCAGGCAACCAAAGAGGCCTTGGCTGGTGCTGGATTCTGAATGTCCACCAACAGCCAGGGAACAGTGTCTGCCCCTCCATCCACCGACCATGAGAGACCAACCATGACCTCAGAGTCCCCAAACACTCTACCACCATGCACTCCCATGGCAACCCCAGGGGAGCCGGAGGCAAAAACCACAGTGGGCACATGATTTGCGGTACCCATCTACCACCTCTGTTGCAGGGCTCCCTGCCTCGCCCATCTTTGAGGAGTACTTGAGGAGTTAAAACAGATCTTGAGTCAAGACCACAAGGGTCCAAGGTCCGATTCTCCACTGTGCCTGTTGGGTGAAGAGCCAGTCTGAGTGGCCTTGGACAACCCACGTGATCCGAAAGTGCCTTCAGAAGGGAATGATAAACCACTTCTGAGCAGAAAAAAAGGAAAGGGGCATAAGTTGGGATCAATTTGATATGATGATGATTATGATTGGTTTTTATTATTTT